CCTTAAGTGGCTGGGAGTTGCTATGCCAGGAAAAACAAACCAAACTGTGAATGAAGGAATCATACAATAAAAGGCTATGGCTACACTGTAGCCTTCTTCTGCAAAAGCTTATGCAAATGAAGCATGGAGTGGAATATTGCCATGCTTTATTTGCATAATTAATTAGCAGCTGCTTTTGTGCAAGGGGCTTTTGCGCAGAAAGGAGCTGTGTAGATGGCTCCTTTTTGCGCAAAACCCCCCTTTTGCGCAAGAGCCATTCTTCCTCTTTTTTTTTTTTTTTTTTTTTTTTTTTTTTTTTCAGGAAGAACAGCTCTCGAGCAAGAGGGGTTTTTTGTGCCAAAGAACCATCTACACAGCTCCTTTTTGCTCAAAAGCCTCTTGCACAAAAGCGGCTGCTAATTATGCAAATGAAGCACAATGATAGTCTACTCGGCACTTCATTTGCATAAGTTTTTGCCGAAGAAGGCTACAGAGTAGACGTAGCCTTCCAGGCTGTTTTTGTGTCTTGAATAGCTGTGCAAGTTGTCTTACCCATCACATTCCTGCATGCTCTACAAAGGGCCAGAAGCACTTGCAATCCCTTCACTCATTTGTGTGCAGGGACAGCTGCCTGCTAACTGTCCGTAGGGCATAAGTCATCCTGAAAGGAAGCAAGATCATTGTCTTTCTGCAGCAGCTCATATAAATGGCCAGTTGTGAAGGAGAGAATGCTCTGCTAATCGCCAATAAAGGCTGGTTTAGCCAGCATACTCAACCTCTCTGAAGTCTTCTGAGCATGACTACATGATGCCCCGAATGGCACTATGACCCCAGCTATCTGTTGCTCTGTATTGCACAATATTCTGTGACAAATTTACTTTACTTTGCCATTCTGATCATTTATACTTACAGAAAAGCATTAACTCTAACCATGGTAGCAATAAAAGGCTGTAGTCATCCTTTCAGCATGATCTTCAGTTTTTCGACTGTACCACTAATTGTATAGACTTAAGATCTTGTGAAGCTAATATAAGCACTATCATTCCTATTTTCCGTTTTCAGAAGTATTGGCCATAGTGCCCCCATTATAGAAAGAAGCTTAAGTTGACCCCTGTGTTCACATGTGTCCTGGAAGCTTGAAACCATATATTCCAGACACTGGAATACACAGTGATGAAGAATTATTTCAAGACTCTGTAGTTTAATAACTTTTCTGTGATAAGGTTTATCATTGGGAACATGACTATCATAATAGCTGTTTTTCATTTTAGGAGGCACAGCGCATTATTACTGAAAGAGAGCCTCCAAGATCAGGAAAAGGTAATGACTGGCTTATAATAAATATTTGAAATCCTACTAAATTTTTTTCTTAAGTAACAATTCCTTTTTTTCCCCCTCTAGCTATAATGGGAACATCATGGTTTGATCTGTCCAATAGAAACAAACCTGAGAAACAGCCCTTTGCACATCTCATTATTGATGATAAAAATATTCCAGCTGGTAAGTTCAGTCTCATCAAATATTTCTGCAAGACATGTTGGTTGCTTTACAGTTTTAAACAATACATAAAGCCCTGGGATGAAGACTTTTAAAAATGGCTAGTGATCAGGTCTAGCAGCAGAATGAAATACAAAGGGATAGATTTTTAAATTGGAAGGCTGTAATTTTGTTAACTGTAATGGAGGTCCTATTCCCTCCCTCCCCGAAACAACAGACATCTGAGTTCAGCGCAATGCAAAATGGCTGCTGTACCAAATAACCAATATCCAGGCATTTTTTTGTCCATCTTAGCAATGTTAGGAGCCATGTTTCTAGGAAAATAAATAATTGGCAATGGGTCTTTAGTGAATGGTGCTAGCTCCCCAAATGCATACAACGGTCAATACTGCAAACATGTTGTTGTTTGCTGAAAAATATTCTAATGTTTAATACAACACTGATATGGCTTTAGCTGCATTGTGCATGGCAACCTTGCAAAACTTTTAGTGAGGTGGATTACAGCCAGGCTGTCTCACCAAAAGTGAACCTATTTGTTACTAAATTCTTTACCCCAGGGTGACTACCCCCAATACAGAGAGGCCAAAAAGAGATCTTACTGTACCACTTCATAATATTTCTTCAGGCCATCTCTGGACATATGTTCTAATTCCACCTACATCTGGCACATCTCGTTGTACTCATAATGGTGAATCTAGTGTCCAATAGGGTCTCCAAAATGACACCCCTAAATCTTTTCCAAAAAATCCTTCCATACTATTCAGTACTTCCTCTTTTTTTAATCATGGTGACAAAGCATTGCGGTTCCTTAACTTTTAATTTGGCAACTTCCAGGTACGTACAAAAGCCATACCCAGTTTACACATAATTTAGCTGACTTGTATTTACCTATAACCACTTTGAAATAATGTGTGGCCCTTGATTACTTGTAAGAATACCCTTAACCATACAGTTTACACTTCACACTTTTTGAACAAGGCATTTTAAGTTGTTCTCTCGTGGCACTGCTCTGCCACCTACCCCAATAAAGGAGGAGTAGAACAGAAAAGGCAGAATTGAGACCTTTCAAAGTTTTGGCCCAAGCAAGGTGGTATGGGGGCATCATTTGAACTCCCCGCCTCAGGTGCCAAAATGTTGTGGGCCAGTCCTGACTTCACATGAAAACAATTTATGTACAAGTGGCTAATATACCTTGTCTCCTACCTCCACTCCCCAACCTCCACCCCCAATGTTAGGATGTACTAATGAGAAAGAGGAGTAATCCAAATAAGAAAATGGATAAACCAGGAAAAAGAGGTGCCTCTTGCACAACTTTAAGAATATGCCCAATCCTAGGGTTACATGTATTTCCGGGAATAATTAATTCCATTGGCAAAATCAAGTATCGCTCCCTCTGGTTTGATGCACATTAGTTAAGTTAGGCAGGTTTACAGGTAATCCATGTAAATACATGTTTGCTTCTTTTCCTCTCCCTTCAACCTGCACCCATTTTTTTCATATACTAGTTGCATTAAATTAATTAAGATTATAAACTTTTCTGGTCAGGGATGGTCTTTTTAACTGTGGGCTAGGTAATTTGAAAATGGAGCCTTACTGTGGCTTCCTGTTGCTACCACAGTACCACTCAAAGGGGTCTGGTTCAAAGAATACCTTGCCTCTGGGTCTTGTGAATCTTACCTATGGGACAGTTGCTTGTGTTCATATGGAATGCTGCTGGCTCAGAGGAAGAGAATCTGATACAACTGGTTGGCAAGGCAGTAGGGCTTTGAGCAGTAACCTTTTATATTCATCGCCATAGGTGTGCATGGCTCTTTGCAATCCACCAAGAAGCTAACCATTGTTGAATTGCACACATTGGAGGTGGAATCTATATCAGGGAGAGATGAAGCGGAGTCTTATAGAAGGGCTGAGTGAGTCATGCAATGAGTACATGGTTGGGTTAGTGCTGAGTAATAGTGAAACACGTTGTGGTGATGGAGCGCAGTACTTGGTAATGTCCTGATGAGAGGTCATAACAATGGTTGCCTTGATTCTATCAAATGACTGTGTTAATACAAACCAAAGCATTTAAGACTTAAATAAAGAGGAACAAGTATTCTTCCTTGGCCAGTGCAAAATCCACTTTATTTAACAAACATGTTTTTTAGTTGGGACAGTTTAGCAACTGATGTTGCTGCAGGATTTGTCAGATTTCCTTATTGGTGAAAGCCCTGATGTCCTTATTCATGCTAATAGAAGATACTCCAGCAATGGTGGGCAGGAGCTGCTAGTTATGTAGTAGTAGTCACCATGGGAGAAGAAACTTCTTCCTGTCTGTGGTGACTGGCTTATTCTGAAGCCAGAGGGTTTTTGCCCTTTTGGCTACAGAGTTTTTTCTCTCCTTCACTTTCTGCCCTTTACTATCTTCTAAACCTTTGTTACTGATACTAACAATCCAGCCATAGTATCTATAGTATCTCTCAACTTGGTAAAAAAAGTTTGTGAACATAAAGTAACTGTGCTAAACTTTTTCCCCCAGGAACACGCAAAGTGAACCTTACATCCTGGCATCATGACAAAGGCCAGGCAATCTTATCGAATATGACCTTCCGTGATGGAAAACTAATAGTCAACCAAGATGGGTTTTACTACTTGTATGCCAACATTTGTTTTAGACACCATGAAACTTCAGGAAACCCAATTAAAAGAGGACTTCAGCTGATGGTGTACATGATTAAAACAAACCTTAAAATCAAACGCTCTGATGTCCTGATGAAGGGAGGAAGCACCAAATATTGGTCAGAAAATTTGGAATTTCATTTTTATTCTGTAAACATAGGAGGATTTTTTAAACTGAAGTCTGGAGAAGTAATAAGTATCCAGGTATCAAATCCATCATTACTGGATTCATCTCAAGAAGCAACTTACTTTGGGGCATTTAAAGTAAGGGATCTAGATTGAGTCTCAATATTTTTCAATTGACATGTATTTTTAAGGACTTTTTTAAAGTTTAGCAGTTTATATAGCTGGATCAGAGACCACTAGGAGAGATGAGTGAAGACATTTTGGGGCCCAGTTGCATCTGTATAACTAAGAATATCACTCTTCAGGGTGAATTTTGCCCTAGACTTCATAGGGAGTCTCTCAGAAATATGAAGGCAGAATGACATAATGGGCCTAGTTCTGATCTTACATCAGTTTCATACCTGTGTAACTCCACTGGCACCACTGACTTTTACACTGACATAATTGAAATCCAAATCTAGCCTGATGTTCTTATGTCTTTGAACTGCTAGTTCTAAATTCAGTTCTGATATGCCATTACCCTATTGACTTCAGTGTAAATATAGGCCACATTCTGCCTGTCCTATATAATTCCTTTGGGGCCCAGTCTTGCCCGTCCTATATAATTCCTTTGGGGCCCAATCTTGCAAGTTGCTGAATGCTCTGACCCTGATCTAGCAAAGTAACTGTTTGTAGTAAACTTAAGTATTTGCATAGCCCCACTTACTTAAATGGGCCTAGTTACATACTTAAGTGAAGCATGTGCTTGCTTATTTTGCTGAATTGAGGCGAGAGTGGTCAGTCCTTGCAGAAGTGACCCCTAGTTCAGAAGGGCTTGTAGGGGATCTGATCTGACTTACAATTAGTTTACTTGCTGTTATAGAAGACCAAGTCTGATTATCATTGCACCTCCAGTTACATATGAAGAAATCTGAAGAGTTAAATTCCTTTGACCTGTTACATTGTGCCAGAGCCTGCAAATACTTTTTTAAGAGGCAAAATATGTATGTTTATAGTCTGTGTAATATTTAAAGTTATATTTCAGATGTAATGTTTTGAGCAAAAAATTGTAAATTGTTTGTTTTATAGTATTTGATACAGAATATTTAAAACCTCTTGCTGTGTATATATTTAATGGTTTTTAGCTGTTTTTAATGTACAGTCATGTTTAACTGGTGCACTTTGTTAATCCCAATGGGAAAAATTGCAGCTAAAATTATTTGCAATTAGCAAATATAATATATTATTTCTTTGTAATTTAATACATTTTTGTTAAACTTGTCAGTATTATAGAAGCATCAAACTGTCCTAATTAGACCAGAATGTTGATCACCAGCTCTTCCAAACCTGCAAGCTAACTGACATTACAAAGCTGACATTACTAAAAAGAGTACATAGTGGGAGACAGAAATCTGCCAAGTGTATTTATGTAATTACCGAAGTCATCTTTTCCTACAGCAAATTGTAAATCCTGAAGTAGAATTTTTTTGTAAAATACCAAACACAATGTTACACTTCCTCAGAGGCTAATTTACCAAAGAAACCAAACTGAATTCAGGAGCAGTTATTTTACACTGTACAGTAAACATTTTCTTTAGAAATGTATTTTGTAACAAAATATTAACAAAGAAAAATGGTGTGGCTTCTTTTTTGGCATTTTGGTGCATCTCTGACAATCTGCCAGGATGATTTGAAGTTTGAACCTGGCCAAGTATTAGTGGCAGGAGTAGAGGAATTGAACCCTCCCCTGCTCCACGGGGTTTCAGTTGAGGGCTCTGAGTAACAGTTGAACTGTGCACTTGCCTGCTCCCTGGGTCACTTTTTATTCCAGCTTCAGTTCCTCCCTTGGTCTGCATTAGGATTACCTGTGCCATCCCTTCTAACAGCTCTCCAGAGGGCTTTCCTCCATCAGTAGTGGTCCATCACATGTGTCTCCTTGGGTGAAAGGCCTGTGGCTGCTGGTGGTGGGACCTGGTCCTGACCATGTTTAGCTCCAGCAGTGAGTCTCTCTGTTGGAGCTTTTAGCACATGATTCTTGCCCTACCCTCACTGCCTAGAGACTGATCTGATCTGATGCCTTTTCTGAGCGGCACAGCTAGGCCAGTCCTTCAGGACTGAGAGCTGCTTATTCGCCCTTACGCAGTTCACCAGTCTGGGGCTTGTGCACCTGGCCACATGCCTTTCCTCAGGTGGAAGGGAATATATTTACTTTTTCCCAGATGGTGGCATTCAGGCTACAGTGCATGGTGCTCTCATGATCTGGTTGTCCGTGTCCTCAATTGGCTAAACTATGGAGCAGGGTGTGATCCATAATGAATAAGGAGTTTTCTAGTAAGTATTAGTGTAGGGCAGAGGCAGGTAATAAGCAGGCCCTAGGTAATCTAAATTATCTAGATAATTTTTAGTGGACTGCATGGGCTGAAGCCAAGCCAGAGCTAGAACTGAGCAGAGCTGTGCTGTTCCCTAGTGCAGGGCTACTGCAGCAGGAGTTGGTAACTGGGCCAGATTGCAGGTCACAATCAAATCCCACCAACAGCAGTGCAGCCTCTAATGTGTCCACTATTCCCTGCCCCTCAGGAGAATATAAGCCATTGACTGGGTACAATTGCTGCAAATATAGCATCTACACAAGCAAACCGCTATTTCTAATTTAATTCAAAATAGCAGGATGCTTAATTTGAGTTTGGCATTACTCCTTGTAGAATGAGGTTTACCAAACTCGAATTAGCTAATTTGGAATAAGCACTGTATAGATGCTTAGTCCAAACTAGCTGGCCTCCAGCCTTTCCAGTTTCCCCTGGTGGCCACTCTGGGCCAATACCAGGAAAACTCTTCTTCATCTCCACCCCTGGAGCCCTTAAAGGTGCAGGCTCTGTCCACAGTGTCTGACAGCTCTAAGCCTGCTGGCCCAGAGCCAGCAGTCACTGCCCCAACCCCATGGCTCCAAAACATGAGCCAGTAAACCACTGGCAGCCAGCCCTCCACTGCATCCCAGGAGCCTGCCAGGGCCCATAGAAGGCGGGCACCTTCCTGGTCCAGGGTGGAGATCAGGGTGAACCGTATTCAGGTTTGGGGGTATGTCCCCAAAGTCCCTGATCACTGCAGTAGACAGAGGAATGCAGCCCTCTATGGCAGGATAGCTGCCAGCCTGGCCACCAAAAGCCACATGAAAACCCACGAGCAAGTCTGCATGACAATCAAGTTGGTCCAGCAAGACCCCCAACCTTGAGCTTCTCCTCCCTCTGCCTTCCCTTGCTGCTCTCTTCTCCCAGGTTTCCCCCTCCCCTCTCCCACCCCAGTTTTGATCAATAAAGAGAGTTTGTTTTTGGCAAGATGTGTTTTTATTGGACATCAGGAAGGGGGGTTAGGGAGGTGTAAGTGGAAGGAGGGAGGAATGAGGCACAAGCCCCCAGTGGGACACACCAGGGAGGCTCTTAGTTCTCCTTAGGGTGGAAGCTCTTCTGCAGGGCCTCCTGGATTCTGTCTCTAGTCAGTGTGGATGCAGTATTTTGAAATAGCAAAATGCTAATTCAAGCTGCGTTTTGTGTGTAGATGCGTTAATTTGAATTAGCTTAATTTGAAATACTTAATTTGAATTAAGCTAATTCAAATTAATGCTGTAGTGTAGACATACCCTTTTTCTACTTACGATACACTACTTTTGTAAATTGTTTGCTTCTTCGTGACTAATGATTTTAGGGCTGCCAGGTTGCATCTTGTACTTCTGCTTATCTTTTGGAATGTTCTGATCTAGTTCATTGTATCTGCTCATTGTGGTCACGCTCTGCCCAACTCCCTTGAGCACAGGAAGCCATATTCTCACATGCTTGCTTCAGGCCTTGCTTGCATGCATGTATTGCACCAGACTTTATCCAGGCCTAAGCTTGCATGATCACATGACTGTACTTTGGTTAAGACAGGGCTGTGCAGATTTCGCCACAGATACTTACACCCACTTGACATAGCTGTGAGTAGAATTGGGTCTAATGGAGAGTAGAGGGAACACCAACTTAAGTTTGGCCTTTATGGACAAAATACTGTTTGACTAAGATATTACAGTGATGAGTATTAAAAATATCTGCCATTGAATGATAGTACTCATGATGGGGGGCAGATTAGCTTAGTAACTTAACTTTAAAAAACATTGACAGCAGTAGTAAAGGTTGCGATGATTTCCTTACTTCTTTGTGTCCCCTCCCACCATCTCAGAAAATAGATTTCGTGTTGGAGGAGGGAGGCATTTCCCACATCTCAAAACTCAATGAGATTTTAGGAAGCCACGCAGATACTGTATGAGTAACTTCAGAAAGCATTTTATTCCTCAACATAAAATTACAACAGTTGAGTCCCCGTGCAACTCATTGGTCTATCACTCTTTTGGGGCTCTCTTTAGACACCATTAGACTTTTACAACCTCCCCCTCCCCTCAGCAGTTCCTAGACTAATAGCAATTTCAACAAAACCTGTTTAAATGTGTTTAATGCATGTGCTATTTCTGCTGAGATGGCTTGATAGGAGTACAGATATTTTTTAAAACATAATATTTTGAGGTTAACATTCCATGATTTTACTTCCACAGTTTTGATGTAACATATTGACGGAGTCTTCACAAACAAAGAAGGGGAGAAATATGGGTCTTCAAACTTCATATGCTTGAAGGAAAAGGAGCTAACTTAGTATTATACCCTCCCTACCATTTTTCAGGCTCTTCTTCCCATTCTAGCCTCAATTTAAGTCCTTTGTATTTGGGTCAGTCATGGAGGAAGTGATGAAAAGAGTTAATAGTTTAGCTTCTCTTCTGAATCCATTTCAGTGATCCCATTTCTTTAAGACTGCAGGTTAGGTTGTCAACCTGAAATCTGTCAAATTCATCTGAAAAATCATTTTCTTTTATAAATTTAGTACTTTGTAGACGTTCATGTGCAACATCAGTGTATTGATCAGTCATCTCCCTGCTTAGTGCACACTGCCAGCCTATGGTGGTTGGATACGAATACAGACACACAATACAATGAGAGCAACTGAATGTCATTCGTTTTTAAATAGTTCTGTAACTTATTGTTTCATAAGTCTACCAGGAACCTCAATGATCTAATCACTTCTCTGTCAAGTCGTCTTTTGAATAAAGTAGTTGGTTTCCCTTTAGAGATTGAAATTGGAACCTAATATTCATAATTGTTTTGCTGTTAATTTCAGAATGACTTTCATGCTTGACAAATGAGGGTGGGGGATGCCCATAAGTCTTGAAGAGGGGCAGAGACATGTGAGCTGAGATCTCTTTAGAGAACAAAACAAGAGCAAGTTTTCCCCCAGCTCTGGCAGTAGTCCCCATGTAATCCATACACCGTCTGTGTGTGGTTCACTGTCCCAAATAGTAGCGGTTAGACCACTTACAGGCTGAGAGAATGAGTCTGCTCTGCAGCTTTTGTTGCATGCCACCTAACAGTTGCCTCAAACTGTAGAGGCTCATGCACTACGCTCTAGAGGTCCCAGGTTTGGGTCTGCCTGCCAGTATTGCAACTGCATTACCAAGAGGTTGTGCCTCAAATGTGTTCTGAAGGATGGTCTTTAGTTATATAAGTAGACCTCTGAGAGTGCCAACCCCGAGGCCAATTTTTGGTGATGCTTTTTGTCTAAAAGATATTAGCTGTTCAAAATTATGTCTAAAACACAAATATCAGTGGGCTTAATGCTTTTTCTTCAATGCCAACCTGAGCTAGAATTGAACTATAGGTTGGACTTCCCTAGTCTGGCACCCTTGGGATCTGACTGGTCCTGGATGAGGGATTTTGTGGGATCAGGAGAGCTCATTTTTGCATCCCTGCCACTGGCCCCTCTGACCTGGCTGCTGGCCTCCCACCTCCTGCTGGCCCAGCAGGCCTACTGCTCTACTGAACTGCTGGGCAGCCATTGCTGCTGTGGCTCTGCTGGGCAGCCAGTTCATGCAGGCTCCAGGCAACTGTATGAACTATACACTGGGGTTCTGTACAGCCAGGCACTCTGGGGCTTCCTGAGCACCTGGGCTCTCTAGACAGCCGCACGTGTGCCAGAGCAGCACTGGGCAGCCCACCATCAGCTCCCTGTGGGCTGCCCACTGCCCTGCCAACACCGCAGGGATCCTTACTGCTGGCCTTCTACCAGGACTCTCTGGTCCTGCAAAATCCATGCTGGATTATGGATGTTGCCGGACCAGAGAATCCCAGTTAAGAGAGTGTCAACCTGCAGCAACAGAAATGAAAGGTCTCAAGTCCCAGTTCTGAGTATCACAATCCTCAAAAGTCAGAGACAAGGAATTTGTTAATTACTCAGATCTTTGGGGTTTTTTCTTGCTTGGTAGAATTGAAAAAGGATAGGTTAGGGGAACTTCTAACTGTAGTCTTAACACCACATTTCTCAGATCTGTAATACATGTCGGCTGTGTCTGCATTGGCACCCTTTTCCGTAAAAGGGATGCTAATGAGACACTTCGGAATTGCAAATTCCACGGGGGATTTAAATATCCCCCATGGCATTTGCATGAACATGGCTGCCGCTTTTTTCCAGCTCGGGGTTTTGCCGGAGAAAAGCGCCAGTC